CAGAGCCATGCAGATCTCTGGCAAAATTCATATATCAATGCCACCATGTGACACACCTATCTAATTATAGGTTTCATCTAATTTGCATATATAGTCCCTTGGCAACCACACAATAACATTCCATACTTTGGTTCTTAAACATGCAGACACCTCATATAGTAGTGCTCCTCTCTTGGTGAACACCAATTCTCTATTGCAATACCACAAACAAAATAAAAATACTCACAATGAATGCAAGATCGAGGGTCAAAGTAGGAGCTTTGGCCTATTTGTCCTTTTTTCTGTTACCTAATAAATCAGAATCGTGGTTGGTGTAACATGGTGGTGTAAAAATTAGTCTTCTCTGTGCTTCATGTAGAGATCAGAACCCCACTTAAGATACAACAGTTTCTGGTGAAAACATCTTTGTTAGAATTGTACGTTGAAGCACTTTGGGAAATGTGTACATAATTAAGTAATTAAGGCTAATACATTTAATGCTTTCTAATTTTATTGCCTCCTGCAAAGACATCCTTTGCTATGAGAAATGCATTTCTGCTGTCATTCAGAGGTATTAAGATTTTTCAGCGTCAACATATTTTGCCCACCTGCCTTTTAAATCCTGTGTGCCAGTTTGCACATTGATTTTGCTTGCCATGTGGGAGTATGAATTACTGAAGCATTACCAAAGCAACAGCTGTTTCCCTTTTACACACAATACACGTTGACTATACATCATGTACTAATGTAGCGCACATAAAAGCAATGTCTCCCACTGTCTGGAGAGATGATACAAAATGCTACTATTTTTTAGCTTTTTGCATACAGACAAACAAATTAGGCAACGTTCTTGTACAAACCTTTTTCTTTTGTCTGTCTATGGAAGGTCTGTACATCATTAGTACGTCAATTTCTGTTTGATATTTTGCCAACTGGAAGTAAGACTTAAACAGGAGTGTAATTCTTTTTTTCTTTTTTGTAATTGGGATTAACAGCATGCCTTCAAGACAGTGGTGGTTAGCATTAATTCTACTGCACTGCTGTGACAAATATTGGCATCTATCGTGTCTTTGGGCTGTCTTTGATTGTGCATCGATTTCAGTTTGTTTTGCAGTTTGGAAAAACCGCCACATGCGCACTGTGACCAACTACTTCATCGTGAATCTTTCCCTTGCTGACGTATTGGTCACCATCATCTGCCTGCCTGCCAGTCTCGTTGTAGACATCACAGAGACGTGGTTCTTCGGAAAGACTCTTTGCAAAGTTGTCCCGTATCTGCAGGTAAGAGATTAACTTCATCATCCAATTTTTTTAAACAGGATATTGGAAATCCTGACTTTATCTCTGACCTTATCTAAACCAATTCACCTTTTAAACGTTTACAAATACAAGCCAAGTGCTGCATTTCTATTATTCTTACATTTTTCTTTTTTTTTGTTGTCATGAGGGTAAAAAAAATAAAAAATAAAAATCCTTTTCACATCCAATGAAATGTGATCCAGTGGTTATCCCTTGTTGAATTAATGCCTTGGGCCAGTCATTGGCTTTTTAATTTATTATTTTTTAAAATTCTATTGTTGCATCACTATGCCAAAACATCTGAGAAAAGGAAAGGTTATTTTTTTTAGTTGTTGGTCATGCTGATCTGTGGTGACAGGATGAACCTAAATCCTTCATCTGAAATCCTACATCCTATCAACAGTACAAATCCTACTATATTCTATACTCGCATTCATGTCGAAGTGATATTTAAGCAGTGTACAACATGTTCTGGGTAGATGCAGCTGTAAACCAAAAGGATTACAATGATGGTATTTACTCCATAGCGAGACAAATGTGAAATCTTCTGTCCTGGAGTGTGGCTTACCATACATCTTGCACCCCTAGCCTTGGATTAGTTGGCTCTTTGAAGGTCTTCATGGTCACATTCACCCTGTTTACTGCCGTGGGCTTTGTACTGCTGCTGCCTCAGTATTTGTACGGACCTCCTCCTGCTGCTTTTTTGAAACCAGGAGGATCTAATTCTCACTTGGAAGTTAATTTTACGTGGCTGTCTTTTTAGTTTGAATGGGTTCACAGCAGGGTGCAGCGAAAGCCATACACAACACATTATGTAATCTTTGAAAAGGGGCCTATATGTCAAACTAGAACTGGTAACAGGATTATCCAGGATCTCTCAACATAGCATGTATTCAGTTGGGAAATAATCAGCAATTTACACTGAGCAGTCTTGGAGGAATAGTAGTGTTTTAGCCCTAATATGACATTATATTTAATGTAGTTCAGTTCAAGGATTCCTAGCTTGAGATTCTTCTTTCTGTTCTTTCTATCATTCACCAAAACCTTTGACCACTCTGGACCACATGCAACGTTCACATCTACTCTGAAGCATTAAATCATATTGTGGGTGTTTTCTGTATTTCACTGAACTAAAAAAGACAAACAAAACTAAATGAACAATGTGTTCCTCTTCTGTCTCTCAACACTTTTTGTGACTCTTAGTCCCGGCACACATGGCTTCCTCCATGCTACGAAGACGTAAATCTTAGCATTGTTACGTTCATTGCTTAACAAGAGTGCACATGTTCATACTTAGGGAAGCAAAGGTAAGTATTATTGATATTGATAGCTTTCGGACAGCAGTGGCACAGGTGAATCAGCTACCTCGAACAGGTTAGGTTGATTTTTCTTTTAATATTATCTTAGGCTTTGACTCAAGGATATGACGTCATCAGACTTTACGTATACCTTATCTTATGGTACAACTCGTGGCTGCTCTGATACAGGTTTCCTCATGGCTTCTATGTTTGCATCAGGTTGAACACACTCAGCCTTTGACTTCACCTTTCTGAGTCCGTCTTAAGGCAACCATACAAAGCTCAACACACTGTGTCCATCAGTGCACTATTGATTTTCCGTCAGGCAGAGGGCAATTATATGGGGATTTGCCCCTTCCTCCTTCCTGCCTACAGTGCAATGTCCTCACTCCTGTTTTTTACACCTTTTAAATGAAGCAAAGTGATAAACATTTCAAAGTAATGGAGTGGAACATTTATTTCCCCCAGGATATGACCCACCACGACCCACAGGGTTTACACTCTGTGTTGCTTCTGTACATCTAATGGACTCATTGAAATTCCAGCCATTTATAACGCACTTCAATCGGATTAGAGCTTTTCCAACATAGGAAGCTTCCAATACGTGAACAGGGTACATCTCACATTGGTCCAATTTCAGAGATCCATGATTAAAATCTCTCCTTCGCCTATTGTGGCTCAGCCTTCCCAAAAGTGTCCTGTGCAGCAAGACAGCTGTGTCATTTAGATAGCGCTGGAGAGGGCTGCCCTCCATCAAGGAGACAAGACAGAAGATGGAGAAGATTGGTCATGCTGCCCTGTTAGACTAACTCAGCCCTGCTCTTCCGTACTCAGACTCACTGCCATTTAAGATTTTACAGCTCAGGTGGAAAACTCTTGATTATTATTAGGTTTTACCATTCTGATCCACTCGACTGCCTCAGCAGACGCCTGACCTTAACAGAGATTAATGTCAGTGCTGTCATTGTATTTTTGAGAATCGTATTCCCTGATTCACCTTGGAAATGAAAAAAAAAAAAAGAGAGAGTAAATCAGCCTTGAATGTGGTGCTACATCCCCAATGGCAACATCTGCTGCCCCACCACCAATCAAGGCCAGATTCAACATAATGCAAATTAATATAATTAATATGAAAGATGTTTCTTTATTAAAAGTTTTTAATAATGGCGATTCTGTATTTTCTCTGTTGAAATTTATCCTTATTGCAGAGTAAAACAAAACCTGCATTTCATTCTGTGGTATTTCTGTGTTACATTAAAAATAGCACAAGGATTGAGTTTTGCTGTAACCGCCTTAGAAAAATCAACTGACAGTAAAATAGATTTTTTTTTATTTTATTTTTTATTTTTCTACCAAAGCATTGCTTCAGAGCCAAGTAGAGTCTTTAAAGTTTTGAAATAATGCTCCTCAATAATGTCCCAAAATGATGTCAATATATCAAATACAGGTAAAAGTCTTCTGTGTCACAACCATGAATATAATAAGAAGCCATGGAAACTATTAGAAAAGTATAAGTGCTGAGAACAGCTTTCCCAGAATACGTTCATCTCTGTTTAACTGCTTCCTTATTTTCTTTCCCTCCCCACAGACAATCTCCGTTTCTGTGTCAGTCTTAACACTGAGCTGCATTGCCCAGGACCGTTGGTACGCTATCTGCCACCCGCTGATGTTCAAGAGCACAGCGAAGAGGGCTCGCAAAAGCATTGTTGTCATCTGGGTTGTGTCGTGCATTATCATGATCCCTCAGGCTATTGTGATGGAGTGCAGCAGTCTGCTACCTGAACTCACAAACAAGACCAGCCTGTTCACAGTGTGTGATGAGCATTGGGGAGGTTAGTTTTTAATAAAGTGCTTCTCAAGCATGTGAAAACATCTTGCCAAGTGTGCCGCTTGCTGTCAGAAGCCCGGGTTGAACCACTAGAAGATCAACTGCAGTTACATTTGTTTTTATCAAATAGGTGTAGTCATCAATAGAACGTTTGTCAGTTTGTGTGTTAAAATGTACTTGCCTCACGCCCTTTGGCATTAAATAAAAGCGCTGTGAGAGCTGGGCACCATTCACAGGGTTAATGAGGACTAAAAAAGCAGGTTGTGTTGCTTTTGCTGATGTTCACATGCACCATTCAGTTTACCGCTATGATTAAAATCCTCACAGGAGGGAAAAACCTTACAAAGAGAGAAAGCTTTTCAATGCTGCCCCTTCATTATGCTACAGTAACTGAGGCAAGCTATGGATTTGATAACTTTAAAACACTGTATTGCTCACTTTATTTAGCCTATTGTTGTCATTATCATATTGTTATAATTGCAAATGTGCTGTGCAAGACTGACGGGCATAGCAACAGTAACTGAGGGGAAGGGAAATAGTTGTCCAAACAGTTTTTAATCAACATCGTAACTGTGTTTTTTTTTAAAAAAACATACATTCAAAAGAAAAGCTTTGTGGTTGCTGAGAAACCAGTGAGGAACAAATAAAGAACAAGATAGTTAATGATTGTTAATGAGCAGCCCATGATCTGCTCCAAACTGAGGACTAAACAGTTGGAGTTGATGATTCACTAAAGAAGTTTTAAGAGCAGGTCAAAGTCATAGACTCTTTGTTGTGTTCCTCAAGCCGATATTGTCAAAGTAACAGCCACACGATTGTCAGAACCCAAGGTTTCCCAGTAGAGCATTTCATTTTAATTAGATGATCAATTACATTCCCGTCACTGGTTTTAATGTAGTGGCTCAGTTTGGAGTTATTCAGGAGAGAATTATTAACGATCATTCTTGATCATTTCACCTCCTCCTCAGTAATCCGCATTCTTGTGCATCATATTGAAAAGTGTTTTCTTTAATTCTCTCAACAGCTGAGGTCTACCCAAAGGTCTATCACACCTGTTTCTTCATTGTCACCTACTTTGCGCCTTTATGTCTCATGGTCCTGGCGTATATTCAGATATGTCACAAGCTGTGGTGTCAACAGGTGTGTATTGATGCTTTTACAATGCCTTTTTCACACACAAATGATTTTCTTTCCTTGCGGTGTCTGACGTCTGACATTTATTCCACAGATTCCTGGAAGCACATCAGTGCTGCAGAGGAAGTGGAGGTCCATCCAGTGTTCAGCTCCGAATGCAGGGCAGGGCGAGCCCGTGAGGGTTCGGACCAGTACAGTTTGTGCCGAGATCAAACAAGTCAGAGCACGACGCAAGACTGCTCGCATGCTGATGGTGGTGCTCTTTGTGTTCGCTCTGTGCTACCTGCCAATCAGCGTGCTCAATGTCATGAAAAGGTAACCATCTCTCAAGCTTCGCCGCCTCCAGAATAAAAAGACATGGAAATTAGACCGGCAACAGAGATTGCATTAAACCAAGGCTCACATCTGTTCTTACCTTGCCAGCTTCAAGTTTAACAATCACTGATGCAATGTGTTGAAAGCACATACTTGTTGCAGAGTTTCATGATACAGTGAATGTGAAAATGAATGACTGTTTAACTGATACCATGCCATACTTTCCTTCCAGAGTCTTTGGGACTTTTAAGAACACAAACGACAGAGAGACAGTGTATGCGTGGTTTACTTTCTCCCATTGGCTCATATATGCCAACAGTGCAGCGAATCCTATCATCTACAATTTCCTGAGCGGTAAGTCCTCACCCTGCCTCGTCTCTCAGAGTGACTGTGTAAGTTCATTACTGCCCTCTAGTGAACAGTTTCCCAACAACATTACAACTTACTGCTTTGTATTCCTTTTTTTTTTTTTTTTAATCTTACACAAGGTTAGACAAACATTCCTTTTATAAATCCAGGCAATTAAGATGTCATTAGAGTTTTGTGGCTTTGATAATGACATGCAGCTCAGCTGTTAGTCACCGTGTGCTGAAAAACCAGTAAAGCATTATGTACCTCTAACAGTCAATAAAATCTTCTCAACATTAATTAGTTTTAAAATTGCAGCGCATGATGCCCATGAAACTGAAAGATGTTACGTGCATATAGCAGCTTCAAACAGAACACAAGATTTCTTATTTTGTCTTCTCTCCAGGAAAGTTCCGTGAGGAGTTCAAATCAGCCTTTTCTTGCCATTGTCATAACCAGGACCAAAATCAAACAACAAGTACAAGGACGAGAGCAAGCACAGACAGCCGAAAATCCCTGTCAACTCAAGTTAACAACGTGGACAACCTGTCGCGCATATCGGATCAGATCGTGTAGTTTCACAATTCAGGTGGGGAGTGCTTAACGGTCGATTCACGCTTCGAAGGACACGGTGATCATTAAGGAAGACATGTGAGAGATGTGCAAACAGGATTAAATAACACCTTGTGCTGGAAAAAAAAATCAAAATTTTTGGACACAAATCAAACTGAGTTTTAGAAAAGCAGTGACGGTTACCTGAAAACTTTCTGTCTTGTTTTACAATCCCTTGTAATTCACAGAAATTGTGTCTTTATTACAAAGTTGGGTGTTTAGTATTTATTGTCATGTCATATGTATTTTATGATGCCCATTTAAGTGACATGATTTAAATTTAATTCGCAATGATTGCAAGTTATTTTGATTGTAATGTATTATTTTTGCTTCAGTAACCAGAATCAGCATGAGAGATTATCACAGGTGACAGAAAGGACTTACTGATGTTTATTTATTTGTTCGTTTTAAGGGTTTTTTTTACAACAGCAAAGGAGCAGGTGCTACAGAAAATAAGTCCTTTTCCTGCTCAGATGTTCACTGTAAGTCCTCAGTGTAAATGCCTGGTAATGTATGATTATGTGCATTAAGTGTATGTAAATGACGTCAGGTCAGATTATAAACAGCGATCAAGCTGCTGAATATTCAGCGTGATTCCTGCATGAATGTGTCCTGGTGGACCTCATTAAGGTACCTCTTTCTTTCAGTCGACACATGCAAGGATTGCCTTGCATCACATCAGTAAAGTAGATTTATTATAGCTGCACCCTTTCCTGCCTTGTATATCACTGGAGCTAAATCACATTTTAAACACCACGAGTCAGAAAAAAAAACCAAACCTTGTTCTCAAGGAGGTCACATGCTTCAGAAATGGGCAGAAGCAACATCCAGTCACCTTAAGTGACAGCTTTAGAGCTCATGTTTTAATGAAATAACTATATTTTCATAACAATACTAAGCTTTAAAATGCAAAATCAAGAAACGGGAATGTGTAGAGTTTGCATGGCCACATTCAAAACATTGATTCCATGTTGGCTTTAGATGTGAATGTAAAGGTGAATAGTTGACCGTCTTGTGATGGACTGTTGACCTATCCAGCGAGCACCCAGTGTAAGCTGAGGTGGTCCATTCACTCTGTCACACACATTCATAATTGGAAGCTGCTCAGTACAATCAAGGTCTTATCTGATATTGTGCAGCTCCACTCCAGCAGTCTTGGAGTAAAAGGCCTTGCTCAGGGCCATCTGGCTGAGGCATCTCAACGAGGCAGCTTCAAACACTCCTGCATGTTCCTCGCCAAACAAACAGCACTTCAAATATTCCCGAAGCAAATGAATACAAATGTGAAGAAAGTAACCACAACATACCCAAACAATCACAAAAAAACAAGCATTAATCATCAACGTAATCAGCAGAGCAGATAAGGCCTCTGGTAAAGTACTTTGCTTCAGTGCAAAGGGGCAAAAACAAACAGAAATGATGGAAATGGAGATCTCTCATCAAATCAAGCTTATCAAACTAAAATAGCAATTAGAAAAAAGCCAAGAGTCATATGGAAAAAACAAACAAACAAACAAACAAATAACACCATGTCCTAATGGCAGAAAAAGACAAGAACAAGACAAGCAAATGATTTTCAATAGGTCAGCCTGATTTGTCTTCAGGGAGTTGTAGCCTGAACAGTGTTGATTGTAATTGGTCAGCAGTTTGCTTGTTAAGCTGTCAGAAATGTTTTATTTGGGACATTTGTGGATAAGAGTTGATTTGTAGTTGCTGGTAGCATTAATATTCATGCTTATTTAAAAAAAACAAAAACAAGAAATCTCAAATTAACACCATTGTTGCCATAAGTATGTGCACGTGCTCGACCTTTTGACGGTATTGCTTTGATTCTTGGTCTAGAATGTGTGTGCTTTCATGTTGTCGCTCCCCCCAGAGGTAGTATTCACATCGCACATTTACATCAGGTCCTGACTGTTGTTTGGACAATTCACAAAGTTATCTTGAACACTTTTAAACATCCATCATGAAACTATTACAGTAAAATCTCTTTTGCAAGGTTTTGTTATGTACTTTGTATACTGTGGCTTTACATTTTTCCATGCACATTATGCCTTATCACCTTTTATTTATTTAAGTGCACGTGACTTTATTGTGCAGCACTTTGATCAGTATTTGTTGGTTATGATCTTGATTCATCTTGCAGAATAGTAACCTGTTCTACTCTTTAAAATATTATCTCCTGCTTTTCAGGTACAAACGTATGAGACAAAGACGGAACATCAGGGTGTTTTAGAGGAAAGCTAAAGTAAATGACATACATATTTTTCTATATCTGCAATGATGTTTGGGAAATTAGGTGTTTACATTGTAGTAATGAAGCATTGCATTGTTACTGCATAAGGTTACGTTATTAAAGATACAGCTGTATCATGAAGTCTTATCATAAACCTTTACATAGCCTGAAATATCTGTCCATACTTTCAAAATCGCAGTTTCAAATGCTTTGAAACACAAGTGACGTCTGCTTACTGTGTTAATTCCTCTGTTTATTTCGTCCATTCTGCACAGATGTGGTTTGTTTACAGTGGAAACCCACAAGTTGTGATGCTCCACTAGCTTAGCCGCAGTATCTTATTTAGTATTTCATGTCTATTGTATGTGTATCATTTGACCTCTTTGTCAGTGCTTTGTGGTGATTTACCATTGCTGTGCTTGGAGCCTCCTTGTTTCTAAAAATGAAAATGACTGTATGCCTTGTCATGTTTTTATTTTTTACATTTTTGTATGTCTACAAATAGTTACTCTGTGAATGTGTTTTTAGTATTATTATTATTATTATTTATTGCACTTATGGCTGCTAATTACTGACACTATGATATGTCATGAAGTTTGAGAGTCCAATGCAGTTAGAGTTGGAGTGTGTGATTCTAAACCAATATAGTTTTTTTTCCATGTCACAGATCACATGCTGTGTGTGCGCTGAAAAAAAAAAAAAAAAAAAAGTTGTCATATCAATAAAAAGTGGCTGAGACTGACCCACAACACCATCATGACCCGTGTCCTGTGAGGGCGAGGGAGGTAGGGCAGTGTAAGCAAGAGGGATGTACATCTGTCACAAAATAATTAGCTTAATATGTTAGGGTGCTAAATATCTTTCTCCAAAATTGCAGACTCCATCCATCCACCCATCCGTTATCGATACACCACTTAATCCTCACTAGGGTCGCAGGGGGGGCTGGAGTCTATCCCAGCTGACTTAAGGCGAAGGTAGGGGACACCGTGGACAGGCCGAGAATTGCAGACTTCACCTTTAAAAATCCTCAACAGAAATAGTGTTTGCTATGGAGCAAAATCTATTTCTGACTGACATTCAGAATACTAAATACCTAATGAATTCACGTACAATCAGATCTTCTGTTTTTTCATGGACGGTGCTGTTTCTGGTTTGATTTTTAATTAGCAGATCCATTTCTTTTCTTTTTCTCTTTTCTTTTTGCATGCCCAGTGTGCAATTAGACGAATGTGGTTCGATTTCTAAGGCTGCAAAGTTCAATTCAATTTATTTGTATTCATAAACAACAAAATCACAATGCTGTCATGTCAGAGCACTTTAACACCCAACAGCTTATCTTCAGCATGACAACCATCAACTAAAGTTGTTTTTCATCACATTGATTTATTTGGAAACACGCTGTCTGACCCTCCAGTGTCCAATCTGTCACACACCCACTCTATGTGTGCTCAGCTTCATCTTTTAGATTGCCTCATTAGTTCTTTGGCTTGATGTTTCTGTTCTAGTGAGATTTTAATGTGTATTAATTAGTTCACTCCTCACAGTGCCTGATATCCTGCACATCTTTTACAAATAAAGTGTCTGGCTACAGTGTTTATCGTTTTTTTTATTTGATTTTTTTTTACCTTTTGGTTCAGTCTCCTACAAAAACACACACAACAATAAATATCCTGTAGAACAAACCAAACAACAACATGGGTTCACAGCACATAAGTCAAATAAACAGCAACTAGTATTGTGTTTCATGCGAGCTGAGGACCAGCCAGAGGTTAGAAAAATGCCTTCTGGTGTTGTAATAGCTGTGAAAATATGATTTGACAAAATCAACAAAATGAAACTATAGATGCTGCTATAAAGAACCTTCAGGAAGTCTTCAGTGTTGGTGCACACTCCTGTTGTCATTTATCAAGATTAGTACCTTGTCCAGGGTTGTCCAATCCTGGTCCTCGAGGGCCACAATCAGATGTTTCCCTCTTTGAACACACCTGATTCAAATGATCAGGATCGTCATCAGGCTTCTGCAGAGCTTGATGATGAGCTGATCATTTGAATCAGGTGTGTTGGAAGAGGGAGACATCTGAAGCATACAGGACTGTGTCCCTCGAGGACCAGGATTGAACACCCCTGACCTCGTCCATTTTTGTTGGGTAAGTAACAGTTTAATAATTTAAATCTACAAAAAAAATGATGTGCATTTGGTGCTTGGTTGATAAAGTTTTTATACCACTTGTTTTAAAGGTCAAAGCAAAGAGCAGAGTAAATGTTGGCTGTAAGAGTAAACACAAGAGATTTAATGCACTCCCTACATCTGAGGAACTAAAGACAGTGGGGTACTCCTCAATAAATACCATGCTCCCACAACAACAGGAAAATCCTTGCATGCAGCTAATGTGGCTAACCATTCCATTAGCTTTGATTGTATGACTGAATAGAGACTGCAACACATCCCATTAGGGCTTTGTGTGAACCAGCAGTTACTTCAGAGCCATTCCAATCTGCCACTGTACACGGCTGAACTACAGATCTTCCAATAGTTATACTGTGTGACAAAGTAAGCACACACACAAGTTTTAAGCAAACAGTTGTGTTGTGCATTCTATGGAGCTAAAACAGAGACAGCATTAGTTGTCATTGGAAAAAAAAAAAATTATTGGAAAGAAAATGCTGTCATTCATGATCTGTGTGTTCCTGTTTAGAACTGGGGTGTATGGAAGACAAAGCTTTTGGAGCCAGCATCTGTTGGTGGTTGATGCTCCTTGATATGCAAATGATATGTAAATAATGCACTCCTTGCCCCTCCCATTAGACTCCTCTCCACACCAAAGGGGATAGAAAGTTGTCATTAAAATAGAACTTTGAAATGCCATAAAAAAAAAAATGTTTTTTTAAATGTCATTGAAGGCAGACATGAAGTACAAAATCTGAAGATTGATTTTTTTTTTCAAAGACAAACCTGTTTTTTTAAAGTTACTTTTTTTTTCAGTGACAACTAATACTGTCTCTGTTTTCAGTTCCATAGAATTCACCCGTATTTGCATGTAAAATTATCACTTGAAGAGAAAATTAGACGCTAAAGAAAGTTCTGGTATCACACGAGGCAGAGACAGTAAAAGCTCAGAATTTAAAGCTTGACATCGAAACAGTCCACACAGCATGAGGCTAAAACCAGTGGTGATACAGTCGAGGTTAAACGAACTGACTTTGCAGTATTTTTTAGCTGAAATTTTTAAAGACCCAATCTGGGGACGTTTTAATTATTTGCTGAAAAGAGGCACAATATGGGGCCTTGAAAAGCTTTATCACAGAAAACGGCTACATGCTGCGTCTGGTAACAAGTTAATGAGAGCTCATCGGAACAGTAATTGTGCAGGTCAGAAAGCCAAAGCTGTGAGCTGAGGGACCCAAAACACTCAGCTACGGGTAATGATTCATTGCTTATATGCAGGTGTTTAATATGTCACCTTTATCTGCTAAACATCTACCTTTTTTTATGGATGTTTAAGAGGTCACATCTTCTAGTTTCTGAAAATGTGTCACCAGCTACATTGTGGTTGTTAAAAAGTTAAATTAGTGATGCAAAAACTGTTCATAAAAACAACACAGACACACATTTAAATCAACAGATAATGAACTGGCTTATATGCACCTTAATATGTGAATATCTCAAATTTACCATATTTATTGTGTCTTCAAAATAATTTTCCTGAACTGTCACATCATCAATAAGCACAGCTAGTGGGTCATGTCCACCTGTACAGAACCACAGTGAAAAAAAACCTTTAAATACATTCACCAAAAAAGGGCAGACATGCACCATGACTTCACCGGAACCAGACATTTGTTTTTGTTGTTGTTTTTGGCCTGCTTTATTCTTGGATATGATGTTATTACAGTGTGCAGGGTACAGCCTCCAGTAACTGTGTTACATCCTGTTGACTGTGGGTGGTGTATCCCAGCCTAAGTAGTGACACCAATAAGAGGGGCAGATCAGGTGCAGGAGAGCTTCACTTGTCCTCTCACATCTTTACAACAGCCACCATGCAGCTGATCCAGCTGGAAGCTGCAGTCTTGCTTGGTGAGTCTAAACCGCAACAAAAAGCTGATCTTTGACAGAAAAATTTACTGTTTTTTTAAATTCATGCTGTGAGTTGTGTGGTAATGCAATTTAAAAAGAAATTTAAAATATAGTTGCATGTTTTGTAGTCTGTAATGCATGTACAGTTATCTAAAGTGTGTCTATGATCAGTTTTGTTAAGCATTAGTGTTTTCTTTGGAACTATCTTTTGTACAAATGTTTGAGTCAAATAATGAAATAAACTGTATTATGTACATGCATTTCAGGCATTGTGATTCCTCACATAACCAGCATCACATCTCCAGTTTCGGACTGTTTGGCTGATTTGAATACCTGCATGTCAGATTTATGCGAGAGTGAGCGGGCATTTTACAACAGCATCTGTGACGGTAAAGATGACACATTTCTTATTTCTGTATTGGGGGCATTGGAACATATTGTCATCCTTTATAATTTTACGGTGGCAGTGTAAAAGTGATTACATGTCCTTGGAAAGTACCGCACATAAGACCATTTAATTGAATTGCACTTCATGGAATATGGCTTAAATGCAATAACTGAGGCAATAGCCCGCAGCTAAGTGTATAAAACAATATAAACGGACGATAATAAATAGGCCCTCTGTAGCCTCTAGAGTATACAGTGTGTCTGATATGACATTAGAATCCCTGTATTATGATTGTGAATTTGACACATCTGCATACACGAGCATACAAACAGCCTTCACAAGAGAAACCATCAGAGCAGCAGGCACACAGGAAACACCTGTTGCACAAACAAGACCTTACACGCTAATGGAAAATCCTGTTTTTCTGCCTCCCTCTTGTGCTTGTGTTATCCAAGATGAAGGGTGCCAAATAAAAGGCTCTGAGGTCTGTAACATGACCATCCAGACCATACTGGACCAATTTCCTTCTCTACAAGGGTGTGTGTGCGCCCAGGAGGAGGATCTTTGTGATTCTATACAAGTGTTGGCCTCACAATGCCGCAGAAAGCCAGGTGCAGTATTCTCAGTCGTGTCCAAGATAAGCAGTTACAGGTGGAATTACATTTTTTGTTTACCAAAGGCGATTCGATGCGTGACTGCTGTGCTGCAGAATGAGTGTTGTTGACAACAGGCTGTTTTAAACAGGCATTTGTTGAGAAGGAGATAATCATGTTTCCTATTATTTGAACAGCAGTTCAGCAGAAGAGGAGCACAATGATGGACTGGCAGTCAAGCAGTTTATTAAACTCTGGTAATTTTTGGATTATAATGACTTACATTAAAAGACAATCAGAGCAGAATTCACTTCATGCAAAAGGGATGTTTCTGCACGCTTGAAACTCATTCACTGCCTTTCTTTTTGTAGTGTACGATGATACTGGATCCTGCTTCGACCGAATAGGACTTTGTCTCAGTGATGCGGTTTGCAACAGACACCTAGTACCTGTTCTTCAGGCATGTACGAAGGGGCAGTGCGACAGCCAACGCTGCCAACAAGCAACTCAGCAGTTCTATGGCAACATGCCGCAAAATGTTGCCGAGATGCTGGTCATGTGCGAGTGTGAGCCTTCCGATCAGAGCTGCCTGCAGATGAAAACTGGTCTGCAAAGTGGCACATGTGGAGACGAGACTTGGATCTGCCAGGAGACATTCTACCAGTGTGTTGTGGACAGTCAATGCAGGTAAGTTGTGCTCCAATACGACAGAAAAAGCAGCTAAAAAAAAAGTAATTTTGTGTGGAATTGCATTCTTTATCTCAGCGTTAATATATAATCATAAATTCATAAGCAGGCGCATCAACACCAAATGAGATGCAAATTAATTGTGTACTGAAGACGAAATGTCAGAGGGAACAAAAGAAGCTGGAAGAAAATACAGATTCTAGTAAACAGACGAGAAGGAGAAAAAGGTCTTGGGCACAGACGGAAGTGACACAAGGGGAGTCAGCAATTTGTTTATAATGACCAGTTGTGTATTTGTGACAGACAATCAAGTAAGACGGTGCAGGAAGAACATTGCTGTGCACAATTGCTCCAGTTCTAGTTAGGGATACTGATGATGGTGAGATTGCTGAAATCAGCGAGACAGCCGTTTTCTCTCGTGTAGAGCAGTTATGAGTGTGCAGAATGGGACGCTAGCCACCCGCTGTGAGCAACAGAAACAGGGGGAGATGTGAGATGAGGTAAAATTGTCAAATGGATCACTGGCAACCTGGTGCCAGTAATGAAAATGGCAGGATATGAGTTGCAAATCTACAAGTGGGCAGTGGAGAAGAGCTGGAGCTAAAGCAATCCAATATACGGTTTGTAGTGCTGTTCCCAAAATCCCTCTACAATCTGCCTCCCATTCAGCTTTTCACACACAGGTGGCAGGCAGATTCCATGCAAGGTGCTGGTCTGACCATCAGGGGCAATTTTGGCTTTAGTGATTTTAAGCGGATGTGTTTCTACATACTGCAGCAGATTGTTTTTAACTACATATTTTGACACTGAGTTGTCACAGGGCACATCTTCAATTTGCATTTAAAACAGCTCCGCAGGCAGTTAAAAAAAAGTCATTTGTCATTTGTGCTGTTGACTGTTTATTTTGTACTTGACCCACAATTTCAATTCAGTAACAAAATGAATGTGACATTATACCCGAATAAGGATCCATCATATCGCATAAACACCAAATAAAGCGGATAACACACGTTGTCTTTGCTTTACCAGAGAACGACTGGATGCTTTCCAAGCCAAATGTTGGAGCTCTGAAGATGCACTATGCAGTGAGGGCAGCCTCCAAAGACATGAATGTTTCAGCCAGATGGATCCGGTTCTCATGCAAGGCACGGATTCTGAATGCAAAATGGCATTCTTGGCAACTATAGGCACAACACTTCACCATCCTTGTACATGCAAAGGAGTTCACAATGATGAGCTGCTGACGTGCAACATCATTCATGATGTGTTTCATAACAGATCATGCTTCAGTGAGTGGGATTTCAATATCTACACAGAAATTTGAAGATTAGGATCTGTGAGAATTGGAAGCATTTAAAAGAATTTATGTGCATTTTAGGTGCATTGTGGAAAAATGTTGCTAGTCCCTCTAAACCTCCTGATGTCAATGATTCTGAACAAACACGGTCACATGGTAAGTTTACATTTCAAATTCAGCCCTTCATACTGTTGCCAACATGATTCCAATTCATTCCAATTTATTAAAACAGTTGCATATGTTTTGTCTTTTCAGATTATCTGTTGTATGCTTTTGCAACAGTGCTACTTTTTGGAGTTGTTATATTATTGCCTCTGGCTGTTGTCAGTAAAATATGGTAAGTAGCTACAAACCAATGCAAAATTTAATGATACTACATCATAATATTTTTATAAAACTGTTTTTTTTTCTCTGTTTTGTTTTGTAGGATGCTAAGACGGAGAGATAAAACAAAATTTCACCATCCACAGAAAAGCAGTTGTGTTGTAATTTTCTGATGTGTATTCATCTATACGTGTAGAGAATTCATAAAATAATGAACAAGATTTTAGATGACTGCAGAGATGAGATTTTGTTTTTGTTGCATGCATTGTTGTTTTTATTTCTTTTTAAGTCTCAGTGTTGGTAATAACATACAGTTTGCAAAGAAACTCCCCTAAAATTAAAGATGCTTTTAGAAACGACGCCATCAATACATGTATGTTTTATTTCGCAGTTGACTTACAAAAATGCAGTAACCAGAAAAAAAAAATTACGTTCCATTTATATTTGGTTTGACCCAACATTTTTCTTTTTAAAAACAACATTCAACCTGAGTTCAACTGCATTTTTCAAGGTACCCTGCAGGCAATCGATCATCCTGACAACAGGACTCTGTAGCGGCCATACTATCTGTCGCAAGCTTCCTTGTTGTATTTGTGAGAGACGGATAATTCTTTATGAATCTGGCTGGTTGTTTGGAGTCACAGTCATGCTGCAGAATTAATTTGGGACTGATCAGACACATTCCTGATGATACTGTCGGATGGACAAGAATCTAAAGTACCTAAAAGTGCACACTGCCGTATATCACAAATCCATCCAAAGATATTGAATTGCATCATGAGATATGATTTGTTTTTGCTTGTATTTTGTAACTGGTCTTTGTAACCGATGACAGTGTTGCCACAAAGAGTAACCAGACAGATTGTGCTTTATTAAAAATATCAACCTGTTTTACAGTTATGAATGTAGTCATGACATCTGAGGTTTCTAAGATGAATGGCTGTGTGTGAACTCAAAGGATTTTAAGCTGATCACAAAAGAAATAATTATTTTTACAGCAAAAATCAATCAAAGGTCTGAAGCTATTAATCTTTCATGTTGCCTTGCACCATCAGTCATTGTAAGAACCAAATCAACATGTCTGACACATGTGAGATTGATGTATGTTATTGTTGTCGGTTCTCCGTTCACTAGTCAACAGATCTATAGAGGGTGAAGACCTACAGCTTGATCAAACCGCTGTAAACTGTCTGAGGTGACGTGCTGGGTTTTGATCTCCTGACAAAGAATGTAGCTTTTAAAAAAAAAAGATTATGATTAAATCTTTCGCAACTTATTAAAAAGAAACGATGAATGCTGATGCTATATGCTGAAGATTGAAAGAGAGGATGAGTGAGAACAAAATTTGGCAGGAGAAGGGAAATTCCTTAGTTTGGAGACAGCTTTTGAGATAGTCCTTTCAACATAACACTTAGTCCTGGATGTAGGACAAACAGGAGCCTTTGGTCAGATGATGCCAGACGTCTGACTGTGTCATGTAAAGAGAGAAGATATGAAAAAGCAGTGGGAAGCCTGATCGGTGTTTTGCACACAAACAGGCAAAGATGGAAGTACTATGTTATCTCTTTAGTGACCTTGTAAAGTGGTTTTTCTTCAGCTTTGAAAAACTATCTGGAGACTCAGCCAGCAGACACTCAGACACACTTATTCGTGACCGAACATATAGTTGAGTTGCAGTAATCAAGATAAGTGGATGTGAAGGCCTGAATGCCTCATAGGTCACTGACACAAAGAATTGTTTATGAATTTGAAAAACTTGATTCTCCTGCCTCAGTGTACAATAAAGATAAGCTGTAGTTTAAATAACATTTTGTCGTTTAAATAACTTTGTATATATTCTGCTGGAAAAATGTTTCATCCCCTCTGGCTGCTGTATGGAGTGATACCTGAAATCATTAGACTCTGGAGGTAAACATGGATAAGGATCCATTTCATATACAGCGCCCTCCATAATTATTGGCACATCTGGTTAAGATGTGTTAAAAGCCTTAAAATAAATTCAGTTTTTATTGCAGAAGCATACTCTCACAGTGAAGATTGTAGAAAAATGTAACCTTCAACTCAAATGAACTGTTGGCAAAAGGGGGTTGTACACAGTATTAGCATTAAGGGTGCTAATAATTGTGGCACACATGATTTGATGTAAAAGAATTATTTTTTAATGTGGGATTTCTTTTCACACTGAATAAATGCACTTGAACTGAAGGTTGAATTTTCCTCTTTTTTTTCATTGTGGTCCTGTATTATTTGGGAAAAAAACTGAATTTCCTTGAAGCTAAAGAACACATCTTAACCAGCGGTGCCAATAATTATGGAGGGTGCTGTATGTTATAAAGGTGGAGGAGGTTTTTATCTTTTCTTCTTCCTCCATCAGACTAAATCTTCACTTGGGCCTGAAGCCCAGAAGGCCTAAAAGATCATTTGTTTCCTCTTGCTTGCACAATTTATAGTATTATCTTGTGTGAGGAGCCTCTGTGCCTCTGTGGGCTAAACAGATAAATAAAGGACAGAATGTGAGGGAGACATTGACAAAGAAGCAAATAAACAGCATCAGATACTACCAACTGCATTATGTAGAAATAATAAACGAACAATTCTGAAAACTTTTTTTTCAATGCTAATGAACAAATGACAGTGTCCATAAGAAAAGAAACAAAGGCAGACATGCTTCACAGCTACCAGTTGTTCAGGTTCAGGTTTCACCTCATCAGTGGTCTGTGTCTGGACAGTATGAGGAAAAGAAACCCACACAGACAACAGACAGATTGGAACTGTAAACACACAACCACATGTAAACTCACATTAGAAAGACCCACGCTGGTTGAAAGCCAACACATTCCTCCTGTTAGGCCACAATGAGTGAACCATGAAAATCAGGGAGGAGGCTATAAATGTTGGAAAGGAAGAGTTGGATGGAAGGTGAAGGATGCTGTGTTAGGGTTTGTTTTACTCTGGATGCCCTTCTCCATTTTCTTCCTTGTCTTCTGTTCATTGCAAGAAAGTTACATTATTCCAAACCAAAAAGAGTCTTCTCATCTTTTTTCATCTGCTGTGCTCGTCCTCCTTTTCTTTTCTTTCATTTTTTTTTTAAACTTCCAACATCCCTTGATGAAAAGTTGCTCTTTCTTTTAGTGCTTTTATATTTTGTCCTCCATCTCTCTTCGGGTCAAGTTCTGGTCTTATAGCACCACTCTCATACTCACTCATGGCTTTGTGTTTTCTAGGTTTCAGAGGTACCGAGATCTTTGCCGGTTTATGTTTTGGTGCTCTGAGAGGTTTCGTGATTGTTCACGGTTTTAGCTGAAAATGTGGTTTTGTATGAGACTATTCTAGAAGTCTGTGTGTGACATTCACCTTCACATGATCCTGTATCACTTAGTTTTGTGTGATGACGGCCGCTAGCGGCACTAAGGGCAGATCGTGTGTCCACTTTTATCGTTGAGTCCTTTTCCTGGAACAGAAATAAACAGGTAGCTTTCAGCTTGCACTACACTGGCCATGTTGGAGTGGTTTTGGGAACTCAGTGAGTCAGTGGGCAAACACTTAAGTACGGAAGTTCACAGTAGAACATCTCAACAACTAATAAATATATTCCCGAAAAAGCATGCAAATGACGTAGCTTATCCCTTGACTGATAACTGATAATTTTCGTTATCCTACGACTTTTCAAATTGTGTCACCATCAGGCCGACCTCTACATGTTTTCTAAACTGTCAAACACATGCAAAACTAAAGACATTCCTATTGTGGAAAACATATCCACTACAAACAGCATTCTAACAGGCTTGATGTTAGTTAAAATGCAATTCATATTCTGGACCATTTTCAGTGAGCTGTGGTAAAGGCCATAGGTCATCAATACTGAACAGTATATTTACAAAAGATTTATCCTCCTCTTTTTGGCCCAGCCTTCAGTAGTATGTAAATGTAATATAATAACAAAACATGTATCCATTATCCATCCATCCGTCTGTCCCTCCGTCCATGCGTCCGTCCGTCCATCCGTCCATCCATCCATCCATCCCCATTATCTATACACCACTTAATCCTCACTAGGGTCACAGGGGGCTGGAGTCTTTCCCAGCTGACTTGGGGTGAAGGCAGGGGACACCCTGGACAGGTCTGTATCCATTATATCATCTTATATTTATTTACACATATAGTATTAATTTCCACCCAAGTCTGGGTCATATCACACCATGAGGAATATTTTATCATAACGCTATTTCACAGCCTCGAAAATAAAGAGAACCTTATAGAAGTGCATGAATTAAAAAATTAAACAGAATACTACTGTCATGTGGGCTGCAGGGTGGCGCAGTAGGTAGCACTGTTGCCTCGGTTGCCGGTTCGCGTCCCGGTGGGGGCACCGGAATCTTTCTGTGTGGAGTTTGCATGTTCTCCCCGTGCAGCGTGGGTTCTCTCCGGGTTCTCCAGCTTCCTCCCACAAGGTCCAAAAACATGTTGAGGTTAATTGGTGATTCTAAATTGTCTGTAGGTGTGAATGTGAGTGTGTTTGGTTGTCTGTCTCTAAGTGTAGCCCTGTGATAGACTGGTGACCTGTCCAGGGTGTCCCCTGCCTTTGCCCTTAGTCAGCTGGGATAGGCTCCAGCCCCCTGCGACCCTGGTGAGGATTAGGCGGTGTATAGATAATGGATGGACTACTGTCATGTCACTAACCATCATGGATCTTTACTGCAATAAGAGTTAAGCAGTATTTTTTTTCCCCTGTAATTTATTTATTTATTTTTAGAATTATACTGTTGTGTGCTTCTTTTTGTATCTTCCAGTATGTTTTCAAACTTACTCATAAGAGGATTGCAGCTGTAAGATTTTCATCATTCTTCAAGCAGATCTGTATATATATAAAAAAAAAAGAGACTAAACTTTTCCTCAAAAAATATCCCTGAGCATGTGTGACTGCACATGAATGCATAATCTCTGGCGGATAGCGGTTTGCATACATGATGAAGATGGACCACAGTGGGTAGACAATTATCACATTTTAATCCACTTATGCAAATGCAGCACTATTTTTCACATCTATTCATGAGAGTTGAGTGTTTTCCTCCCCAAGTTCTCATCATGCTGGCATCCAATTAAGTTTAATTTTGCGAAATTGGGATATAAAATGAAAACAATTAATGACAGTTAATTAGCTGGACAGAAAACCAGAAGTATCCAGAGCCCTCAGGACCAGGACAGAGACATTCGATTTACTCATTTTTTTTTTCTTCTTTATTTACATCATCCTGAAACGACCATCACCTGAAATTTGTTTGTCAAACACAGTTTCTGTTTGCAAATTGGTTTTAGATAAAAATTCATTCAAATTCAGTGTCACAATCTGTTTTTTTTTTTTTTTTACATTTCTATTTAGTTATGTTTCACAGACAGAACAATAGGATGTAAACAGACAGGAAAGACATGAGAAAACACATTTGACTTTACACTCACAGACAATCATCCCAGATAGTAGCTTATGTTATGGTTAAAGTTTTTTTTTAACATATAAAAACAATCAAGGGGCACTTCTTCAGCGATCTTTGGCAAACCCTACAGCAAAAATACTCTTAAGAGCCTTGATTGCAAATTGATCTTTTTATGGTTGTTTCAGAAGTGTCTCTTTTTAATTGCTGTTATACAATCGGTCAAGGTAGGCAAAGAAGGAAACCTTCTCAGGAAAGTAAAGTGCAAAAAAAGATGCCCTTACACCTGCGGCAATAATAAATTATCTTCAGCAAGTAGCCAAAGCAGTCAAACTTTGTTACATCGTCTTATAAGGCCACTGAACTACACAAGGTAATAAAAGTGACTGACTTTTACCAGATTTATTTGTTAAAGCCAAATAAATGCGAGGATGTTTTGAAATAGAATTGTACAGTTCAGCATTTCCAAAGGCCAGCATGTCTCATAACTCACAGAGTCACCAATCAAAACCTCTATCACAAATGAAAACTCATCTTGATAGTTAGTTTTCAGCTTCTGGTTATTTCCTGTTCAATATGACCTGTCTTTGTCAACCGCACAGAGCAAACGTCATATGAAAAATGGGAGCATTCAGTTGATCAAATGTCCATGGGGTCCGATTAAACTGTAAACCGCGTAAACAGATGGAAAAGGTGCAAATTGGAAATGAAAGAGGAGGTGAAATCTTCTGACATTTCTCAAGATGATTTGGAAGAGTTACGTCAGACACAAGGATCAATGTACTTCAAATACAGAAGCATAGGCAACAAATCTGAAGGCAGCAACAACAGGGGAAGCACTTTAAAGGGAAAAGAGCCAAAAATTGAACATAATCCTTTTACAGAGACACATCACAGTGTCCTGCTTTTTGCCTGGGCAACTCTGGAGTTTGTGTTGCGGCATAAAGCATTGCAGATGAAGCAACCAGCCTCTATGACTTTGGAAAGGTCCACACCCTGCAAAAAAATAAAATAAAATAAATATTGCAATATGAGTTAAAATGCAATGTCTGCATGGAGAATTTCTGTTTAAAACAATGAGCGTAGGAAGAATAAAAACTGGTTGGTCACTCAGGAATTTAACTGGATGTGTGCAACAGGTGACAGAGAACTGAACTGCAGTGATAATATTCCACCAGCAGGGGTAGGAATTGTTAAATAAATTGTCCCCCAGACCATGTGTGCAATGCCAGGGTCTTGCACAAGTAGTATAAAACCACTGATATTATAAAATAAACATTTGCAGAGCAGTGTGTGTTTGCAGAGTGACTCGTAAATCAGCTCTGAAAGACTGCATGAGTTTGGTTTTGGTTGGGATTACAGACACATAAAATCAGTAAGTCTGTCAAAGTGCACTGTGGAGACATACTTACTGTTTCGATGCCCATGCCATGGAGCATGTAGAGAACATCCTCCGTTGAAACGTTGCCAGATGAACCCTGTGCGTAGGGGCAGCCTCCCAGGCCAGCCACAGCAGAATCCACCACAGAGACTCCCATCTGCAAAGACCAACAGCAGAGACATTCAGCACCTCACAACAGGCCCTCACCTCAGGTAGAATCCAGGAACAAAGATCCTTGTTCTGTTTAATTGTTCTGCCTGGTGCAGTGCACCTTGCCAGGCCTGCGGTCGTGTATTACAGCTGTTTTGGAGAACTGTGGGCTTATGTCTTGAAGATGGTGGGCACAGAATGTCCCACAGTATGGCTTAGTCATCCTCTTTGTCAGTTTCAACCACCAGCACCACATAATTGTAGCCTTGTTCATATGAGAAGAACATTATAAATGCTGAACAGAACATTTCATATGTTTCTGATTCTCCTGGTTACTCATGTTTTTACAGCACTACTCTGCCCTTAACCATGGGGATTCACTTTCTTGCCACATTGAGATTTTTTTTTTCCTTGGCTGGATGGTATCACACTATGCCAACAGGCTTGTAATTCTAACATTACTACACAAATGTGCAGTTGCTAAAAGAAAAAAAAAGAAAATCATTAATGTCACAAATCATTTAACCGATCTACGTGGTTCAGTGTACTTCTGTTCACTAATGTTCTTTTTGAGCACAAAATGTAAGAACGTGAGCGATAAATTCCAGGTTTGTTTACTTTGTTAGATGTTTGGCTCGCTGGCTGCACATAATCATCACAACAGTTAAATATTGTGGGAAAATGTTCGTTTTTTTATTTTTTTTAACTGCCTACAATAGCAAGTGTCTGGCATCCATATGAAAATTAATGATGCGTTTTCAGTTGTTCAATTCGTTGCTTTTGTTGGACAGCTTATCCAGCATTTTAAAATGCCGCTTAGGAAACATTAGTTCACTGCTTTTGTTTTCATGTTAATGCTGCATTTTATGGAAAGTATATTTTACTATTTCTCTGAATGCACGTATTACAGAAAGAGACACAAACCCAGTGTTTGCCATGTAAGTCTTTAACCGTTGTTTTCACACCAAAAGAAGATGAAGCCAGACTCTCAGTTTTTGGAGTCATTACACGCTGAGGTCTTGGGATGTTTTCCACATGTCCCTGGGATTGTCATGAGAATATTAAAGATGTTTTCCAGCTTCCGTGGCAGAGCCAGATGTCAGAGCATCCTACAGTGAGACAAAATTAACACACTGATCCTCTCAGTGGCATCGGGTCATGAAGGACTTCCACCCCACAGAGAGGGGCCGAGCGAGCTAAATTAAAAGAATCTCTATTGCTTTTTTCCAAACAATGCTGCTAATTGGTTGCTTTTTTCCTCCAGACAAGAACCTACTTCTTTCAGGGGCTGTCTAAGCCAGCCGTAATTGCTGTTTGTGTTGGCAAGGGAAGAGGAGGAGGTGGGTAGGAGGAGGAGGCGATCTACCCCGGTGTGTGCAGCGCACGAGATTTCCAGACCTTGGTTAAGGCCAGAGCAGGATATTGTACTAGGCAGAATTTTTTGTAGTATAAACAGAGAGTTGTAATCTGCCATGCCAGTCCTCTCGCTTTCAGCTGCTCCCCCTGTAAGGCCACGGGCCTTCAGCATACTGTTTCTGAGAGGAACAAAACAAACCCTTCAGCAGCGTGCCCTGTACCTCTGGACACTAATCACGCAGGAATTGGTGGTCAGCAGCTCGAGCTTGCCAGTGCTCAGTTAGGTTCACACTGCCCAGAAACCAGATGTGTGCTCAGTGTTAAAAAGCCATATTCAGTGAGCTGTGGCTATATAAAAACAATGCATTCCTGGGTAAAGACACAGTGCATTTTCGAACTCGCATGATTCGGGATAAGCTTGTTGACATTCTACACTCTGAGTGGACGAGGCTGAAGATGGACATGCTCCCATTTTGGTTTTATAACTGCGTCAGAGAGAGAGAAAGAGAGAGTGTGTATTCAGGGCAGGATATGAAGCAGTGATGCTTTACCCACTACTATATAAACTGGGAAGCTGAAAGAAACTGTCACAGAGCCACTGCTGACACATATATCACCTCTTTCCAGGAACACATAAATAAGCTTGCAATGAGAAAGCAAACCCCGGGCACTGGAGGGCAGCTAAGAGGACAAACACATAAAGAAAAAATAAATGACATTTTTACTTCACGATTTCTTTAAGCGTAAAAAGTCTGAACAATATAATCAAGTCATTCAGCTTCCACATAAACCTCTTTCATGGATCAGCGAGCTTAATGAATGCAGAACCACCAAAAATGACAACAATCCAAAAGATTGTGATCCTAAAATCCTTTTTTTTTTTTTTCAACTTTCCATTTTATGTTTTTTTAGACTTGAGTGGAAGCTTTGTAATTAGTAAAAGAAAAAGAATACTACTAAATTAAACCACACTTAATTTAATGACACTAAAATTGGAAATTAATCTAATTTGGATGAAACTGCCAAAAGTACAGAAAAATATATAAAAACAAACAGAAACTACTAATGGCCTCCCCCAACCATGGCTAATGCACCTGCCTACATGAACAAGTTATTGACATTGAAGTCTTAGTCATACTAAAATTATCTTTAATTATATGTAATTATTCATTTTATTATGTCAGCGGTTCAAATGTTCTGTTTTTCAACCACAAAAAAAATTATTTTGTCTGCTGTTTAAACACATCTTCTTTGTCTAATATTACCATATTGCAGATGAAAATGAGTCTTTTGGATAATTTTAACACATTGTATTAATCATTTGTGTTGTCCTTAACATATAAATGATTAAAAGAGACTTAAATTAAGCATAACTATGAAATGTGTTGTCAAATATATTCTATTGAAGCATCACAAAATGGCTCTATAAATAAAACGAACCATTTGTAGTCATATTTTAAACAATATTTAGTGATTTGACCCAATCATTGTTTACTAAGGCTACAGAACATATACTTATTTATTATTGACTTTGATATTTTAGGTTTTCGCTCATCACAAACAAGAGACAGTGATGATGATATAACGTCACCACTGTCACAGTGTTATAATGTCTATCAAAACATCATCACACCAGCATCTGACAATGAGGCCAACATTTACTGAAAGTAGTCAACACTAGTCAACACAATTACAGTAGATCACTGGATGTTGATGAAACAAAGTTCTTTACTCAGTACACACTGTAAGAGTTGAAGAGCGGATGAAAACGAGGGAAAAAACTGCAGATGAATGTTATTGTCAGCAGAGATCTCACCTGTGAGCCCAAACAGGTTCTCCTGTCCTCCCCCTGCTGCAGTAGTGCACAATACACCAAAATTGCAGGTAAGAATAAACAATTTTCCCTGCCAAGCCTGTGAAATCTAAGCACATACATTATCATTGTGTGACCTGCCAGAGTAGGTTTGTAACAAAGACCCCCGCCCCTCAGCAGACCTCCAAAAAAAAAAAGAAAAAAGAAAAGGTACAAAGACTGAGGAATGTCTTTATCAGGAACAAAAGAGGTGACTCAGGGCTGACAGCACTGGGGGAATTCATTTCTCTCCCAGTTGGTGGTGTCGACTTCTGGCACACAGTAATGAAAAACTATGATAAAATCTTTCATTTCCTTCTTGTTTATGGGTGAGCAAATGGTAAGCGAAATATCCCTGGCTGCTATTATTTTCTGTGGCCATGGGGCAGCTGCGATGAATCATTCTAAATATGATCCACGGAGGAATTTCACCGTCTCCCTGCACTTCGCCATCTAAAATCAAAGCTAACTTTAAAAAATGCACTTTACTTGTAGACATTGCTGTGCTTTTTCTCCAACGCAATGTTGTGAAGTTGAACGTACCAGAAACCATCAAGAGAGAAACCGTGAACTGTAATTGACTCAGAATTAATGTTTAACTGTGTTTTTCTTCTGGTGTAGGTGGATATGTGTTAAAAGGTAAAGATTCTCAGAAATCTTTAAAAGGCAGCCTATCTCAAGTTATGTAATTTATTTATTTTTCGCAGTTCTTGTCAACAATGTGGGTTTAAATTATATTGTAATATGGTTCCCCCTGGACAAGAGCATTGTAAATGAAATATACTGCTGCAGCAAATGTGCTGTAAGTTTTGCAAACTAAAAGTCACGAAACATAAGTATCTTCTTGCACCTACAGTCCTGTAAAATAAAGTGCTACCGGAGTTTTCAAGAGCTGGGTCTGCAGCTGCAGCGACCATTCATCATGTTGCTCAGCATCGAGCAAATGAAAGGATCATTTTCCACTGGCCTTTAAGCACAGCATTGTCAGAGAGTTCAACAGCCAAGCGACAGATGAGTTAGGAGCCCCCCAGGGCCCTTCTATCCACCTAGCTCTCAGTTGCTTTGTCCAATAGACACTGAATAGGTGAGCCTTTGTGCTGACCCCCTCACATCTGTTGACCCGCCCAGCCCCCAATGAGCTTCCTCCTCCGCCGTGACAATGTGCTCCAGAGAACTGATACAGCCATATCTGCGTTACCTCTGTTTTATGTCGGGGATGTATGTCAGGTTTACACTCGCTACGGGCAAAGTGGTGAAAAACACCCCACAGAGGTTAACAGCCCGATTACATTTTTGTGAGTATGTTACTGTAATAGCCCCATTTCTTTTCTCCTCCGCTACGATACATGTGCACCGTGATGGGAGGGCCCATTGGAAATATCTTATGTTCATTAAGATTCTGGGGATTTTTTTGTGTGTGTGTGCAGTGGGCAGTTTGTGAATCATCTTGCTTTGTGGGGAGGCTAAGATCATGTTTCTTAATGCCCCTCTTCCTCGTTGACTGACGGTTCCTGGTTTTCTGTGCGTCCCATTGTGGCCTTCACATACATGACAGAGGATACATTCATAATGTCATAAACTGGCACGTTGTCATTAAAGCTCAGGGCAAGATTCAGGTTTGAAGTTCATAAACATTTGGAGAGTTCATTCTACTTTTCAACTCCACAATCAAAATGACAATATTTGTTTAAAATTATAACATTAATACAGTTTCAAAGATGAATATGAACCCTTATTACATGTGATTATATTTTCACAAGCCCTAAAAAAATGTTTCAAACAGCTTTAATTGCCAAAATAAATGGCCATTAGTCAAATTGAAATATTGACGACAATGTTGTTTCATTATGCCTCATTCCCATGGAAAATAAACACTATTTATCCTTTTTGATTTCTAAAAATGAAAAAAAGATGCTGCTTTTGAATGTTACTTGGGCCTCGAAAATTGTCTAAAAAAGATGGATTGGGAGAAGCTTAACATATGATTATTCCCAGCAGGAATGATGATTTAAAACCTTAAGAAAGACTTGTGATCTCTACAATGTTGGCAGTTACTTAAGAAAGCTGAAAGATATCCTGGAACAAGAACGTCCACCTCGACTTTGCTTCCACATCTGGTTGCTCCTCTTCATGTCATCATGAGTAACTACTTTGATTTATGCAAAGACTGGGCATTTATCCATAATCGGCCCTGCGGTTCTCCACAAGAATATTCATATTCATCATGAGGAGAGGGATGTGCAAGTGAAGTCAAAGGTGCCCATGATCCTTGCCAAGCCGGTGGGAAAGCAGAAAGTAAAGCTGTCAAACAATTTAACATGGAGGATATGAGGATCAAGAGGATGATGCATTACTGTCTTTTGCTTGTCCAAAGAAGAATCTAGATTTCCAGTGGAGGTAAATAGGCTTCCTCTTCTAACCATGCCAACAGCCCTCTGCAGACCTCTGCAAGAGAGAGTGCTGGCACTTTCCACTTCCCTCCCATAAGCATCATGGTGTTTTCTTCTCAAAGGAGAGGTGTGACTCACGCCTGTCCTCCAAGAACTATCAGACCTCCAGTCTTCCTTTTCTTCACAGAGACCTCTGAATTTTTTCGAGCTCTCTCTCTCTTCACAGGGAGCCCCCGTCACTCCAACACATTTCAAGAAACATCAGCTCTCTGAATCACACTATTTTCAAAGGTGCTTGTTTGACGCCTTCAAGGCTTTGAGTGTTTTCAACCTCCTTCCTTGTCGTTTCCCAGAATTCACAGGTCCCTCCACCCAACCGTTGGAGCAGCCTTGGAGCTGTTCCCCTTCATTTAAACACTTCCAGCAGCACAGTCTTTGCCACAGAGAGTAACACTTGTAAACCACAATTTGTTTCAGGCAGCTGGAGAGAGCAGGAGTGAATTCTGGGGGACAGTGTTTGTTTTTTTATTGGTAACTTTTTTAATATTCATATCTTTACACCTCTCTTGCGGTCATCAGTCATGTTATTACTGTCAGAAAATAGCTCGACTGAGCATAGAGCCATGCTGTGTATTATAACTGACGACAAGCGATGCTGCATCTGGAACACCTCATGGCGTGTCCAAATTTTTAACCTTCTCCTCGCCATATTGTATCCGTGAAATTGGCCTGTAGGAGTTTCAAACCATCTTCCTCACACAATATGATGAAGTGAAAGACAGACTAAAGGACAGACAATCCATACTTTTCTCTTGGTGAAACCCTTCGACATCCCTACAGGCCTTTTTGTTGACGTTTTTTTAAAAACCTTTTCAAAAGACAGCCAGCATCATACACTACACGTGATTGTTGTTTTTACATTCTTGCTTTCAGTAGTTGGTCTTCCAAGGATTTCTTTGATCACATGGTCTGACACAGTGACCATTCTCATCAGACGCCAGTATGGTTCAGTCTAAACCCAGTTGATCAAGCTGATTAAGTTTGTCCAGTAAATATTTTCATTTGACAGTTTGGATAAAGTGGAATAATAGAAGCATTATAAGTTCTGCAGTCACAAGATTATCTCCTGTGTTATTTATGTCTCCCTTTTTCATTCCATTTTCATGTTATTTTACATCATTATCTGATCTCATTTGTTCTCCAGTAAATATGCTAGTTCATTAGCATTTGCACCTTGTCTGATAACCTATCTGTGCTCATCTTAGTGTTCCAGCTCTGTCATTGTTCCTGCCTGCCTTTGTATCATCCAGCCTGACATGGTTCTTGCAGCTGTTTGGATTTATTGGCCTTGATTACAGTTAGCTTATTACTAACCTAATTATTGCTGTATGATCTGGCAAAAGGCCCTTTTGTCTTTCTATCTGAGGTGTGGCTTTTGAAAAATGAGACTAACATTACATTACTCTCATTGTTACAAAACTTACATTTCAGTTTCATTCCCCCTCAGAACATAAGTATTGTAAGCCATTTTGGGCTGCAAAAAGCATTGCAATATATGACCCCCTCACTGTTTACCTGAGTGACACCATGAAATTCCCAAAACTCAAGTCTGTACTAAGGAAACCTGTTTCACGTCTGCTCCAGAAGTGAAGAAGGAAACAGCTGAGCTTCTGAGAAAACAAACAATAAAGACTTGTTGCACTAATTGGATCCTTGGAGAACCATAATGCACCACTCTGTAGTTGTGGAAGAGGGATATATTGAAAGGAAAGATGAACTGAAATTTAAGTTTTTGTAATTTAGATTGGATTACTGCATTAGTGGCATCATTTGATAGCTTATGTACAGTGACTGTGTTCTGCTTTTGAATCCTCAAACACGCCACTGAACCATCAGTCATCAAGAGTCTTAATAGAGACACACAGCTTCTTCTAATACTGAGGACAATAATTATTCTTATAAGAATGATCACAAGATAATGAATCCCAATATTATGGTCAGCTGTAGTGGTACTCTTCAGCGTCCTCATCGTAAGTTCTTACCTGAAGTGCGGTGAGAATGTTTGGCAACGCTTGCCCGTAAGTATCATGGCAGTGTACCGCTAGAGCGCTGATGGGCACCTCCTTCTTCACCCCCTGCAGCATCTTCAACATGGATCCTGGAGTACCGACACCGATGGTGTCCGCCAAGGAAATCTCATAGCAGCCCATTTCATATAACCTCTTTGCCACCTAAAGAACAGTGAAAATATGGCAAAATGTTCCCATTAGAAGGAAATTGTACCGTACGAGAAGTGTCAGTGCCACAGTACATTGAGTTTAACACTGAAATGTAGAGAATATAAACTTTTAATTTGAAAAGTCATTCAATCAATCTGTGATTAGAGTCGGAATATAAAGAACTCATTAGACTTGAACTCAGCTCACGTGACACCCATTCACACATGATAATGAACTGACAATGAACAAGGGAATTCATTTTTCATGTTTGTCCAACCACTTTTTCACCCAAACAAGAGGTTATTTGTCATGGAGAGAACAAACAAAGAAAGAAACGCCATCATCATTTCAGGAACAGTGTGATAATGGCCCCATTTAAATAAATTAGCATTATCTCATAAATTAATTAGGTTGAAAATTACAGTTTGGTCGATTATAAAGAAGTATTTATTCTTTTAAATGATCCTTTTTCTAAAATGAAACAGTGATCCCACCTCAGCAACTTTGGACGGCTCAATGTGTCCCTCGTGGGGGCAACCGAGGGCACAAGACACATATCTGAAAGAGGACAAAGTTTGACATTTAATGGGTTTCAACTGCTGACAAAAAGCAAAAAAACATGGGTGGAGGAGCATTTCCCTGTGACATTGAGAACTTCCCGAAGCAATCGATTTATTTGTGATTATGGTTTCCGTACTTCTAATGAACTATTTTTATGCCTGGAGCTTCCATGTTTTGAAAAGCGGGATATTTGCCTGTTGATGTCAGATGAAGTAACTCGGTTTAAATGAGGATAAGAAGCTGTGGGAGCACCGTTGTTTATTCGGATGTGTTGTGGTCTTGCTATTTTGGGTGTTCATCTGTTTGTCAGCTGCTATCTCAAAGGAACACAAAAAGATTTACAGGAGATTTGACGCACAGATTGGTGATTACGGTAGAATCTGGTGGTGATCCAGACCTCGACTCGATGCCATTTGTTTATCACTAAACACCGGAAACAGGCCAGTGTTTTTACTAACCTGCTGCTTTTCTAGTTTCGTTTTGGGGGGTTTTTTTGGACAAAGAGGTTCATGTAATCTGAAAAAAATAACATGTATTGCAGGTGCAGTGGCTTGCTTTTCCATGTATGATAAAAGGCCATCTAAATTCAGTAACTTGCCCTGCTCGGTTTGCTTTAATGTCCATCTGGACTTATGGTTTACTAAAGCATAGATATAGCCTGGTGAACATCTGGAACTTTGCTAAAAAGGTATCATTACTGAATTGTGTGTTTTCTCCTGTGAAGAAAGTGCACTACGTTCAGCTGTTTTGTTTCCTTCTTGAGAAAAAAAATATAAAAAAAATAATCGGTGTGAAATCGGACACCGAATGAGATGTTTGATATGTAATTCTCACTTATGTCAGTGACAATTAACATCCAGAATACTAACCCACGGACTGGAATTTGGCGCTCTTTGGCAGTGTTAATGACCTCCTCAAACCTCAGCATGCTTTCATCAATAGAGCAGTTAATATTTTTTTTGCTGAAGGTTTCAGACGCTGACCCAAACACCGCCACTTCAGTAGCACCAGCTGCAACCTTAAAACAGCAGAGAGAACCAACTTGTAAAACTGTTTTGAACACTGTGGTGGAGTCACACTTACGTAAGTGCAGGAATTATTTGACTAAAAACAATGTGCTGCCAACAATTAACTCAAGCTGACAAGCATTGGTAAATATGATAAATTATATAGATTATGGTGCGTAGCAGAGAGGTGGAAATGAATGCTTACGGCATCCTGGAAGCCTTGCATGTTTGGTGTCAAAACGGGGTACCGAACATGAGGCGCTCTCTGGATTCCTCTGAGAACATCAGTGTGGTCTGCCATCTAAATGAAGGGGGAGAAAACATATGATGTAGAAAAATAAACCTTTCACATCATCTGAACACGTTCCTGGTAATACATCATCCTGCACAAACGTTTTCGCATGCTTGTAGCCAGCAGACAATCCATAAAGGACTACGTTTTTTTTTTTTTCTCCACATTTCTCGGTATAAACACACCATGGGGCATGTTCACATTTGTTTTCCTTTTTCGAGAAGTAAATTGGGATACAATTTATGGCAAGAAATGAAATTATTTGGAGAATAAAATATTCTTTGCAAAACCAGCTGCGGATCCAACGAGGATGCGAGAGGAGCACATTTTCCTCAGTGCTTATGCAGGCAAGAAAGAGTGCCTAATAAATCACTCAGCACTCTTTTGCTGTGTACAAAGAAGAGTTATTACCTGCGGTACCCACTTTGAAGAGACAAAGCTGGTGGCCTCGATCACAGACAGGCCTGTTCCTGAGAGCATGTCTATCAGCTGGATTTTCACCCCTGTCGGAACAATTTCCTGGGGAACAATGAAACCGAAACAGCTCTTTCTGGATTTGATTCCACTCAAGATAGGAAGTTCAACGAGCAAGATATATAGCTTTTTTTATTTGCTATGCTCCGTGCCATTCATATTGATATCTGTATTAGACGTGCTGAATCTTGCACTTGCTGAATATTTCGTGATCCTTCAAAATCCACAATATTTCTCATAATCATGTTGTGGCAATAAAATTATTCCTACATCTGGAGCAATCTGTAAAACTTCTGGTGTGCAATAAGGCAATGATAAAGTTGTGACATGCTAAGCAGAGAAAACTCAGCCAGAAGCCGTGTCATCTTTCCTATTCAAAGAAAATGTGAAACACATGCTCCTGGCGATTATGGCACAAGACCCATGTGTTATGAATTGTTTTATGCATGAGAGATACACAAAACATGGGAGTTTCCAGGGAGGACTGGGTCTAGAAATAGAAAACAAGGGTGCATATAAATATAAATAAGATTCATGACTGACATGATGGTGTACCTTTTCATTCTGAAGTCCATCTCTTGGGCCAACTTCAACGATTTTAACAAACTGTGGATACTCATGTCCTGTGATGGTCTGGAAAAATATCAAAGAGCAACAGGAAGAAGAATAAAAAAAGAAATACCACTTGTCAGGATAGTGAACACTGAAAAGTCATCCATCCCTTTGGCGTGGGATGCTCCAGGACATGTTATTTCTAACATGAGTAACTCTCTACCTCAAAGACAGACGAAACCTGAGAACCAAAACACAAGGCTGTCATGCCATTAGGATGCAAACTCGGGAGATGTGTCATGGAGAAAAGGCTGGGAACGAGGGTTAGGGTAACTCCACTCCAGCCACAAGGGATATTCTGAGGATCGGGGTATTTTTCTGGTCGAAACCTCACAATTTTAAGGATAAAGTCGTCGTTGAATTTAAATGCAAAACCTCAACAGAGACTACAGATTACAGAATTTATGCAGATAACTTCAGAAACTGAGCGACAGTGATATTTAAATAAAGACCACCCGGCTGACCGTAGTCGGCTTATCTCTGTAATCTGTGCACAAATGTGCATGAAGTCCAAAATTCATGGTTACTTTGCCTTTGTTTTAATCATTACCTGTCTGAGCTTGCTATACATTACACTGTCCTCACCAACTAAGTCAGCATAGGCCTGTTTTGTGCTTAGCAGATAGCTAAGCTAACTTAAAGCAAGTGTTGAACAGTGGTGGAATATCATTATTTACATGTATGTATGTTACCCAGGACTTTCGAAATATGTTAAGATGAATGTACTTTGAGTCTTGCTATTTTATTCTAATTTCTTCTTGTAATTTATAACATTTCACATATAAATATTGAACTTTTTAATGTTCATTTATTCATAAAATACTCCATCTGTAGTCTGCAAGCCAACAGTTTAGAATATACTTGAAATAAACTCAAATGCAACAATGATATGCTGCTGTTAGGTTTATGCATAACTAATACAGTACTTTAACTTCTGACATATTTTGACCATGCACTTTGAAGTAAGATTTTTAAATGCATGCGTTTTACTTGCAGTATTTTTACTTTGTAGTACTGCTACTGTTCTGTGTATAAGGAAGCCTGCAACAAGCTCAAATTCAGTCATTCAAGAAATTTGCATGCCATAACACCAAAACTAGAGTTCTAAGAAAACTACATAAAATTAAAGCCGCAAGCGGCGATGGACGGGTCCTCGCCCTACGCTTGGAAAAAAAG